CCAGTACTGGAAAAAAAAAAATCGCGTTTTTCCAGGATTTCCATGACATTCCACGACGCGTACGAACCCTGTATATATATATATATAGACACACACACACACACACACACACACAATAGCCAAATGTCTGTCTGCCTGTCATTCTCTGTATCAACTGAATGGTCAATTGGCAAAAATCAAAATATATATCAACATCAATCCATCAATCTTTGTATGTGCTGAACATTCGGTCCGAGAAAAAACTTAAAAATGTTTCTCTTTGTGAGACATTTGATGAAAAAAATGGGACTTCTCCACCAATTAATTTACAGAAATATTTCAAAGATAGGAGCATGAACAGAAAAAACACAAAGAGAGGAACATGTTTGAATATATATGTTTTTCAGTTTATACATATATTATTTATGTCTGTATTATATACATGAAATATTTTATAGTACTATGTCAAATAAATTCATTTGAACTGAATACTTCCCCTTTGACACTTCTTATAGAAATAACTTTCAAAAATCAATCACATTGGTAGCAATTTTGATAAAAGAGTAAGCACAAAGGATCACACATAAAGTGTAATAGAGTTAAAATAGGACCGAAAACTCGAGCACTTTCGAGTAGTTGACTATTCTTCTTTTTTGTTCTTTTGAAGAATAGTCACATTGGTAGCAGTCTTTCCTTGAGCTTAGTAAAATGATAAGGAATGGTGGCATCCAGCAGAAATCCCTATGGCTACTTAGCAAACCTCAACACACTATTTAGCTGGATGCACCAATTGCATCAAAACTCAAACATCTTTGCCCACAATGCATTGCATTCAGTCTCCTTTGCTTAAAAACAAACACAGGCAATTTTTCTTAATGAAATAACATATGGAATGACAAAAGTCAGTTGTAAACAGCCCACAAGACATCATATTGTATATGTGCTCTGATCCGAGGGATTTTATATTTATCCATCATTATTTTCCCAAAAATTACCATTGAATTGTTTCAATGGACATTGCTAGTTTTACTGAATGATGTTTCAAGTAACTGCTCTTTATCAATTGTAACCTTTAATTTGATTATAAGCTGAACAGTTACAACAGATGTCTACTTGGAGTATATACTCATTTAATATGACTTACATGCTTGATAAAAACATGCTAGAAATGTTAAGTCATAAAAGATCTTAATAAGGTAATTTTTGTTTTTCACATATTTTTTCTCTACTTTAGATTGAAGTTGAGTGCTGGCAATTTAATAGGTTTGGTTTGTTTTGAATTTTGCACAAAGCTACACGAGAGCTATTTGCACTAACCATCCCTACTTTAGCAGTGAAAGACTAGAGGGAAGGCAGCTAGTCTTCACCACCCACCACCAACACTTGAGCTACTCTTTTACCAACAAACAGTGGGATTGACTTTCACATTATAATGCCCCCATAGCTGAAAGGGCGAGCATGTTTGGTGGGATGAGGATTTGAACCCACGGCCATCAGATTGCAAATCGAGCACACTAACCACCAGGCCATGCTTGGATTATTGCTTGGAAACTGTCAAGTTAAGATTTGATTAATCAGTAACAATTTCATTTGGAAAACACCAAGTTATACTTTATTTTTCCGCCAAACTTGTTACTGAGTAATAAATGAAGTACCGCCAAGCAGCGAAATAATATCAAAATAGTCAAGTGTAGATATACTTATCACAAAAACAAGCAAATACAAAACCCTGATCATCTGTTTTGCTGATAAAAATACACCAACCAAATTACTTTCAACTGTTTTGTTGCCTTTTGTAAAATTTTTATTAAATGGTGGCTGCACCTATTTATTACTGATTATCATTTCAATGTCTAGTGTGAGGAGTTTTTCTTATGTCCAATATGTGCAAGTATTACATTCATATCTTTTTGACTTTCATGAGAAATTGGCTAACCTGGACCCCCCTTGAAGAATGCTGTAATCCCTTCTTCCTTAAATATTTTCCTGAAGGCATCCATCACACCACTGTATGTAGTCTGTCCTTGTCTGGCTTGGACCTGCAGTCTAGTCTTGATGACATCTGCAGGAGTAACTAGATATGCAGCTGGTACACCTGCACAAAAAAAACGGAAGGATTCTTCAATATTGAAGTATTATTTCATGAAAGAAGAAATCTGTTTTTTTAGTCTGAATTTATTAGTACTCTGATAGTCCTTTGAGGCCTATGAAGGCACACTATACAATCAAAGTTAATAAATACTGAAGGATTAGGAATGACCAAATAACAATAATTTACATTATTTCAAATACCTGAACTAATGTAAATTAGTGTTATCTAGATATTACTTTAAGTATGGAGAAACTAATTCTGTAAGGTATTTTTGTCTGCTGTTAGTTACTGATGCAAGTTTAGTCTTAGTAGATCTTGTTTTTTATATAATGTGCACCATTATTATTTTTATAAGAATTCTTTATAATTTTAAAATGTGTATCTTTTGAATGAATGAGAACCTAAAAAAGCTACAAAGAGAAATGTAGAAAGGACATTTTTTTCCCCCTATCTGTTCTCCCTTTTTTTAATAATCCAAGTTCTCAATATTTACATCATATGGATCCTGAAACCCAGATAGTTCCAATGAAATAGAAATGAAGGAATACTACACTACTTCGATACATCTTTTGTAAACCTTTTTCTTTACTCAACTGTATACCATATTTTAATTGATAAATTCTAAGTAGTATAGATTCACTGTCTCCAATACTGTTCCAAGCTAAAAGATTGAAATAACATAATCAGATGTCAGGTTAACTAATCTTTTTTTATATATATATATATATTATAAAAAGCCACCTTGTGTCAGGTTAACTAATCTTTCTTTTTTTTTTTATGTTAT